TATTACTGGTGTCAACATTTACCATTTCTTTGATATTTCAATATCCCAGTTTGTCTCTAACGACTGTCACTTCTCCAACAGAAGGGGAAACATTTCCTCTACCTGCAGAGGCTGAATCCTAACACGCTGCAGAGGTACCAGCTGGAGAGAGAAGAGTCCGGTCTTGCCCCGCTCAGCTGCTGTGCCTCCTACAGGGAACAGAACATTTGCCTGCTTTATCTTTGTAAGTCTAAACTCTCGCGGTAACTAGTTTTCATAACAGTTTCATTCACATTCACAGTGACCCACTGTAACCCACACAGGCATGGGTGAAAATCCCATTTCGTTGATTTGGGGGACAATAAACAGTAAAATATCAGAGAGTAATTCCTAGAGGGGACATTAAAAACTTGCTGTCTGTTTTTTCTGAAACCCAGATCCTAATGGTCATCTATACCAAAGCGTTGTCTCGACGAGGGGCTGGGGAACTGAAGATGGACGTCAGGTCCTTCCACTTCCCCGCAGACTGCTATTGTCCCTTTCTGTGGGTGAAGGTCCACTGGAGGCAGCATCTGCCCTTGAACTAGATGAAGCCCATGTAGCTGTTGTAGGGGTTCCACACCCTTCAGCTGGAACTGGAAAAGGTAGAGTCAGTCCTGTTCACCTTGACCTGGACTTGTGATTTTTCAGGTGAAATTCTGTCTGGTGTCACAGTGTTTGAAATATGAACTGTAGCTGCATACATGCTTTATAAAAGGTGAAACTAGACACTATGACACCAAACTTTCAATTAATTTTGTATTTTATGGTTTTGTAGTAACTACACCAGATGGGCATCATAAAAATCCAGTGTGTGTTGTGTAAGAGCGATGACTCTGAATGATGTTTTAAATGTCCCATTTTTTTGTTCTTTCAGATTTTCTTTGCATCTGGAATACCAACTTCCAGACACTTCAGGCTGCAAAAGAGATGGGGGGTAAAATCTATGGGCAGGTGGGTAGTGGTTCAGGTTTGTTCAATGTACCGTAAAAAGCTCAATAAGCAGATTCACTCTTTATAATGGAATATAACAGTCAGATGACATACTGTATATATAAGCTATTAAAATACAATTTTATTTGACAGTATGTGGCATTTTATGGTAAATGTGATACACTGGTACCATTGAAATGGTTTTGTTGTTAGACCAAGGTTCCCTGTCCTTCCAGCTGTTGTGTACTGGTGGAGGACTGTATGACTTTGGTAGATCACTGTGCCTACTCTCCACTGTGACAGGGTTTGCTGTCCCGTATTCACAACTAAATAGTAGTCAACATTTAAAAAAAAAAATACCTAAAGAAGCTGTATTGACTTTTTTTTGTCTGAAACATTTACTCCTGACACTAATATAGATCCATGTTTTTACCTCCTCTTTTTATAGCTCTGGTGCTTTTTCAACAAATTATTCATTCCACATGGAAAAACCCTTTCTGTCATACCATTTGTGTGTCCCAAATCTTCTCTGGCCTCTGCGCTGGGAAAACTAAAACAGGCCAAATCTGAAGGTGAGTTGGAGAAGGAGTTCTTAACCTTTTTGACCTCAGAGACCCAATTCTTGCCCATACAAAGCCACACAGGGCCTGTTCAAATATTAACAGTAACCTGAACTAATTGGTCTTACTCTTAGTTTGAGTTGTATTAAATGATTAAATCAAATCTACTTACACAACAAGCAAAATCTGTGTCGAATAAAGCTGATATCAAATCAAATTTGGAGAAAATGTTTGGCTTCTTAGGCTTGGTGCTTCGCTTGTTAGAGTTAGACCACACTCCACGCACTGGGCTCTGTCTCGTTGCTTCTATTCACATACTTGTACATATAAAACTTCATTTTTTTTTATTCTAAAATACTTTCTTCTTAACTTTTACTATAGACTAGCCGTGTCATGTTTTTTTCCTACTTGTGATGAGATAGTTAAACATCTGACTGTTAAAGAACTGATCGTATCATAGATAACAGATGCACTATGTTCCTGATATAACACAGTCAATGCATGTTTAGGTTACTGTTTTATATCATTTGTGTGTTTTTTAATGTTTGTTTACTAAATTTAGTGCACTTTTTTTGTCTCTCCCAGAGTCAAAATCTCCAGCTTCTGTACCGTCTTGGAACAGTATTTTGCATGGAGAAAAGGTCCAGCCCTCTAGACCACAGGAGACCAAGAAGGTACATTTGATATCTTAAAAGTAACAGTATGAATTTCTTTTAATCAGTATCCAATTATTATATATTTGACATCCCCAGTGTGGACGGGTCAGTGAGAATAACCTTTGTGTATTTGTTAGTCAATCTATAATCCTGAATGATTGATGACTAATTAATCCACAGATTGGTTGTTTGGGTAAAATTCTTGATGTTAAGGACAGACTTCACTGTTGATTTTTTTGTAAGATGAAGAACGCTGTTAATTTCATCTTCTGTAATTTTACTGCTACTGTCAAATTAATTTTTTTTTTTTTTTTAATTATAGAGACTAACTCGTAAGACTCAGTCAACAACATGCTTAACAACTGACCAGGTGCTGGAGCTCATTAAGGTAATGATTATTCTAGGCACTTGTTCTTTTTGGGTCATATGTATAATAACAAAACAAGACTTTAGGTTACTTTAGCGTGACGCCATTTCCCTCACTGCAGACAGCCTCAGCAGAAGACGTGCAGAGAGAAGTAGAGGGGGTTCTGACTAGATCAGACGCCCAGAACCTGCAACAGTCCGTCAGTCTTTTTGTGTCGGCCCTTGTGTCACGTAGTCTGGAGGAATCGAGCTTCTACACGCCGAGCACCCTGGCTAGACTTGTGCACACCCAGTGTATGAGCCACAGGTCAGTACAGCAGGAGAATAAATGTCTAAATAACATAGTCTCTTAAAAATACAATCCATCTTTTTTTTCATATTTCTGTTCCTTATTAGTATAAATCAAACCGCACTCACTGGTTCATCAATATCACCAGTTTATTGATTTGAAAACGTAACTTAATTATTGCAGTGTCAACAACGTGTATGAATTATACTGGTGTTTAAAGCTACAGTAAAAGTAACAGTTTGACTGTTTCCTGTGGTGACCTTTCACAGTGTGTGTCCTGAACTTTTACTCCTGGCCCTGGAGAGGAAGGATTACTTCCTGTGTCAGCTCTGCCTGCAATTCTTCCCTGACATCCCTGAGGCTGTCACCTGTGCCTGTCTTAAGGCCTTTGTCAGGTAAAGGATGCAGATGTGTCTCCATCAGAAAAGTTTGTGTAGATCTGCTGTTCTAAGCAATGAAGCCTTATGACATCTGGGTTGTCTCTTAGTGAACCACATGGTAGAAACTCAAGGCAACAAAAGCTGTACATACATTGAATTAAGATAGTGTTCTGTCTGGGGCTGATGGTGATTCTGTGTTGCTACTTTAAATATAGGGTGCATTGAGCTAGGTTAGGCAGAATAACATGGATGCATTGTTGTTGTTTTTTCCCCTCTGTTTTTAATTGATTTATTCATTTTACAGATACTGCCTACTGTGGTTAAAATAACTCATAACCAGTCACCATACAGGGGTTCTTGGTTTACAACATTTTGTACTTTGGTTACCATCTCCCATAAATTTACTTAAAATAAATTTTCTTGTCGAACAGAGCAAACCCCTACGTTGTCACGTTTTGCTATACGTGGAAAACTCCTTTGTTTACATTCGCTGGTTGTACGCCGTGCTACATTCGCTGTCTTTCGTTTGTTTTGGGGGTTTTTTCTTTTGCCCTCCAATATGGCTCCAAAAACATAAGTCAGACTCTTCTGATGGTTATGACTGGTTAGCGGAGGTGAGTGACACAGGTCCTTGTGTACAGTATGTACAAGATCGACTTATGGGGTAAAGTGGAGTTATGTCGGGTCGTAGGAATTTGATTTGCCCTGTGTACACTAAGAAGCATGGGTTAGGTTTCCCTCAGCTTATGACTAACTAATATTAACTTAACCATGGCCTTTTGTGTTTTCATCTTACAGTATGCCTGACACTGATGCAGAGAAAGTAAGCCTGGAGCCTGACAGTGTCTCCTTCATGGAGACCCTCATCTCTGGCAAACACGTTGGAAATTATGTACAAAATGGTTTTAGTCCCAGCCCCTTGGATGTGGAACACACAGATGCCCTCAGTGGAGATGGTGTGGCCATACAGACCAAAACAAAGGAGGAGGAAACTGCACCATCAGAGCCGACATGTCCTGTGGGATTACACAAGGCCGTCCTACTGTATCCTGTCAATGCTCTGCTCTGAAACGCAAGAGTTTCATCTTTTATGTTTTCTTGACTATTAGAAATTTTATTTTATAAATCTGTAGAAAATAAGTTACATCAATCAAAAGAGAGTAAACCTTTTATTAAATATCAAAATGGTTCCATCTAATACCTTAACTCAAACCTCTTAGTAATGAAGTCTTACAGACTGCATACAGTGACACTTTTCTTCTCCCGCACTTAAAAGATCTGTCTTCTGAACAGGTTATTGTAAGTGACTCATACTTCTCTGTGATGTCAGCATGGATTTTTCTATCATTGTGTTGATAAATTAATTTTCTCTGCTTGCTGTCTTTCTCCATCGATCAGCTTTTCCTCCAATACCTCCAGTTCCTCTACCTGAAATTTTCTCAAGATGCCCCCACGCAGATGCACGGACTAAGATCACCAAGTCTCGCTCAGGTCTGTATAACCGTTAATCTACACGTGCACTAGCACTGGTGCACCCTGCTAGAGAAACTATATGTGGTGACAGTATTATTTGTTATTTAATTGTTTGGGTTTGTTGATCATTTTTTTAAACTTCTATTCAAATATGTGTAAAGATTACAATCTTAATCATGGTAAAAACAAATTCTGTGTATTTGGTTGTAGATTGTGGATTGGGTGTGCTTGCTGTTGGATGCCCATTTTACAGTATTGGTAATGACTCAAGAGGCCAAAGGTTTAATGCTGAACCCCCTAGCCTTTGTAATGTAACAGGTG